AAACATCATCTACAAAATAAATTGTGCCAACTGCGAAAAACACTACATCGGACAAAGCGGACGCCCCCTCCACCTACGCCTACATGAACATCAATTAGCAGTCAAACGCCATGATATCTCTTTACTTATATCAATAAATGTGGATAACTACGGACACTCATTCGATTGGGAAAATGTAGAAATCTTAGACAGAGGAAACTCCAAAAACACCAGAGAATTTTTAGAAGCCTAGCACTCAGGTCAATCAGCAATCAACAAACATATTGAAATCAATCCGACCTATCAACCAATCAGGAAAATCATGCATAAATATAGGAACAATACTCAAACCAATGGGAGACACAACCAAAACAAAGAAGTAAACAATGATAAATTTAAGGTCAACAAGAACCAATCAACATCGAGGTGCACAGAACAAGCTGTGAAACACATATGGAGAAATTCGAACACTTCACTTCTATCTGAAGTTTGTGCTGACGATGTCGTTCAGAAGAACGATGAAAGCTCCATGACCAAACCATCCAGCTCAGAGAACAAAACCCCCCAAAAACATGTGGCAACTGTCTATCATGTCCTCAAGCTGCCAAAAACTCTTCGAAATGCGAACCACGGCATTAGTCCACACCTTCAGGAGCCTTAGAAAGACTTCATGCAGATTTCGTCGGTCTAATTCAAGATAAAATGTTTCTAATTATTGTGGATTTATTTACGAAGTGGCCAGAATATGTAGTATGCCTAACAGTACAGCATCAAATACAAACCACAAACTGTCTACTTTGTCCAGCTATTTTGGAGTCCTAGAGACTTTAGTGACTGACAACGGTTCACAATTCCCTGCACAATCATTCAAGCATTTTTGTAGCATAAACGGAATAACACATCTATGTTCTCCACTCTATCATGCCCAGTCGAATGGACAAGCAGAACGTTTTGCCGATACTTTTAAGCGAGCATTACTGAAAGGGGAAGGCGACGGGATAACCAGACAGGTAATCACAAAATTTTTAACGGCCTATAGAACTACTCCGAACTCAACTGTTTCAGATGAAAAGTCGCCTGCAGAAGCCATGATTGGAAGAAGCACTGCACTATTTTGAACGCCGTGTTGTCACCCAAAATAAAAGATAAGCATAGACCAAATCTTAACATCCGAATTTATAACGTTGCCGGTAAAGTGTTCGTTAAGTCTTACTTCAGAAAGAATCGAATCGGAGGAAATCACAAAGATTGGGAAGAGTTTTGTGCAGAGCTCGAGGAACTTTTGGCACATGTATCAGAAACGCAACCCAAGTCCTCAAAGATAGAGTGATGCACACACGAGATGTTCAGCTGAATCTTCCACACCAGTTAATCTCAGATACATCAACGGCACAGACACCCAAAAATACCGTAGGAAGACTCGCAACAGAAATACAGCGAACAAAATGGAATGCCGTCGCAAAGCAGTCATCAGGCTACAAGTGGATCCAAGAAAGAAATCTTATTCCAGGAAGGTATTGGCACGGCTTCTGAGAACTGCGACGGAGACTTCTGAAACCCTAGAACAGCCGAAGAGTTCCACCCAATTAGAACGCAATGAATCTTTCCAGAATATCAACGTAGCATGCTGCTTTTGGCCAGTAGAACAACATGCCTCTTTGCGATTGACTGAATTATATTTATTTAACAAACGCCAATATCTATAAACACCTGTGATTTTCAGTACATTTTGATTCTTGACCAACAAGCATTTTCTTCCAGTCTTCTTCAGTATAGTCATTCGCGACATGGGGGCGTTCTAACGTCCGAGTGCCCAAGTTATACGCAGTATATTAAGAATCTAAGTTCTAGATACAACAGAGATCATGGGCCCATTGAAGTTAAACCACCATGGAAATCTTGAAAGCACTGAAGTTCAATTTCGTGGATTAGTTGAAGTTAGACATTGACTTCAATTGACCCATAATCTCAACTATTAAAATTCCTATAATATCCATAAGAAACCCATTCTCATATACATGTGTTAACTGAATAGAATTACAATGGTACAACTTCAGCAAATAATATTGTAAATAAAGAAAAGCTTAGAAAAATGGATAATCTTTATTTGTTAATCACTGAAAAGTAAACAAAACGAATGTTCGTAATATAGTTCACTGTATTAAAACAAACGATTTGTGTGGAAATCAATTAATTATCAAATATATATGAGTGTCAATGATGATTGGTTCACTACGATTGTAAAATCGGATTCATTACTTTAGCTGCCATTATCGGCATTGTTAATTGTTGATCATATATAAAGCATATAAATGGATGAGTTACATGAAAGTCTACTTCTGGTATAATGGCTGAAATAGGCACAAATATAGGTGAAGTTACAGTGGTTGCTTCAATTCCACTTTCATTTAATTTCAATACATTTGTTTGAATGAATTCATTCACATATAGATTGTGATGAGTTGTGATACCTGACGGGAAAGAACAAAAGCATGAAGTAATTGAATTAATGTGCTTGAATTTAGAGGTACACATCAAATCAACAATGCAAGTACATCGTGTTGATGAATATTAAATATTATTCCATTGTTAGAGATTGATTAAATTTCTAAGATCATTTACCCACTGAATCTACCATTCCAAACATCCAATTCAATATCCACAATGTCAAAAATTAAGGAGTGATTACATATTGAATTGAGGTTCCACTCCTACTGAATTATTCTTTTCCAAAATTACAAAATGTTTCTTCTATCAAAAGAATTGACTGGATTTTGTTTGGGATATTACTTTCAATACTACTCTGAAAGTTACTTATTTTCTCACATTATCCATGAATAAGTATAATTTAGACGATGTCGAAGGTTAAGTCTTACATATTCATCAACTGTTCTGGTAATTATTATTACACAGCTCAACATTAGTCTGTTCTATTTCTTTATAAACATTTTGAGAACCGAACAACTTATAATTGATAGTCAAGCACTAAGTTATAAACAGCTTAGGTCCATCTAACTGTTCTCCACGTTTCAACTCCACACAAAGGAAATGTTTTTATGTTTGCCAAAAGAATTAGAACTTTGGTCTTGACTATATATGTGTGTATTATAATTGTGTTTGTATGTGTATGTATGTTTGATTATGGATTACAGCCGAAACGCATATTCTTTTCACTAGCATAAATGTTACTTACTTAAATTGTTCCACGATTTATTCGTTTTCCCATAAAATGTGTTTATGGAACCCATTCATTGATTTGCGTTCAAATCCTCATTCGTTCTCATTCATTCATAAACGCTTAGAATGCTTGAGATTCATACTTTACATCAATAAACTGTAGTAACCGCGTCGTATTTCCTTTTTAAATCTATTCATCTCTTGGAGTTATTTAATAACGGTTATAAGAGTTAGTGAATGGCTAGTGATAGACGAAGCATAGCAGTCATCTTGAAGAAACCTGTGGTGTTTGAATGAACTAGTGACTTCTTTTTGCTTGTTGAATGTTTGATTTCGAATTCCAAATATAGTACATTCGTTCGTGCTCATCTAGTACTTCTTGATCTAATTGCGTTGTTTCTGGAATTCTTAATTCGCACTATAATTCAAATACTTCTGATCATCACATGGGAGTCGTGATTGAGCCTGTGATTGAGCGGTTGGACATACATTCAGATTTCCATGTGTTTGAGGATTACTTGGAAAGGTTCAAAATCTGGGCTATGACATTCATCGGAAAAGAGGCTTACAGCTTACTAAAATCTCTGGCTTTACCAGAAAAGACTATTTCGCTTCCTCATGCAACTCTCAAGGAACCACTGCTAGACTATGATAAGTATACAAATTTCGAATGCGGTAAAGGAGGGAAATTTCATAAAATTATTTATCAAGACATAAAAAATTCCGCTACATTACTACGTTATCCTAATCCAATGCATACTCAACGTTATGCCGACAATTCATTGAGGATATGTGATACAGTTCACGAAGGTGAGATCAAGTTTGGTAAATGTTTATTCTGTGGCAAATTTCATTCTCGTAATTCATGTGCATTTCGTAATGCCAAATGCTTTAAATGTGGTATGATTGGACACATTCAGTCAGTTTGCAATACTAAAGTTTATTCCGCTGCAACTAAAGCGAAAATTTGTAGTGGTGATCCTATTAAGCTAGGTGTTTCTAAAGATCATTTGTCGTTATCCACGACTTTGAGTAGCGGTACAGAGTCACATAGCAGACCCGAGTTAAATGAAAGTCAGAATCCTTGTGAGATAACAGTTTCTAATCAGTCAACTGCTGTTTATCCTTATCACGAAGTCACTTCTAATGTTTAATCTAGTCAATGTCAGAAATACGTTTTAAATGAAGCCACATTATTCATAACTTGGGGATATAGAGTTCAAAATTATTTCGTGGGTGAGGATAAAGTTAGAAAATCTATGGTTCAAATGCTAGATATCAGTGAAGTAAGTACACACAACCGATACGGTGATCATACACAACCTCAGGACCCAGGTGAGTCTGTTCCGATTTCCGTTGTTAATTCTAATACTAATGAGCTTATTCTAGATCATATAGAGTCTACACCCAATACACAGTCGGACAGACACGATGAACCTACTAAGAAGAGACACAATTGGTTGCAGAAATTTGGATTCTTATTTAAGCTGTGGCGGATTTGGTGTTTGAATGAACTAATGACTCCTTTTTGCTTATTAAATGTTTGATTTCGAATTCCAAATACAGTACATTCGTTCGTGCTTATCCAATACTTTTTGATCGAATTGCGTTATTTCTGGGATTCTTAATTTGTACTATAATTCAAATACTCCTGAATAACACAAAACTCCACTACTCATTGACTTCGAACGTTTGAATAAAATCACATAAAATATCTGAGCAAGAAAACATACTAGTAATCTGAGGTGCTAATATCCACTCAAATTCACAATAGAATAATCAGAATTGATAAAAAGAACAATGTATAATATTTTATGTGAATTTACCAACTTAGATATTCTCACCTGACAGATCAGATTTTACTGGATCAAACAAATCGACAACACCGATAGACTTTAATGTTGGCACAAGATGAAGTGTATTTTTCAATGTAAATTTCGGTAATCGTAATGACACTGTAGTTTCTTTCAAATTCTTTACGTATTCACTCAAAACTTTATTACCATTCAAAAGTTCTGTGGCACCATTTAACGACCACTTTTCAAGAGGTAACACGATAACAAATGTGAAACGTGTGTTCTGGAGATGTTTGAGAAAGAAAGAGCGAAACGAAATAAATGAGAGTAAGCCTGATGTTATAACCTCTAAAGAAGCAAGCACTTGCAATGATGAGACCATATGGATTTTCGAACGAGTGAATACTTTGAACAAGCAACTACAGTGATCTGCACTACGCAAACAGTAAAAAAACTGTTTGTAGGAGAAAGTCTGTTTCATCCTGCAAAATAAACTGAAAACTCCTTCACGGTATACTATTATATTCTCTTGTATCCGACAAGTGAAGACAGTTTACTTCAGTCGATTTAGATTAGTTCCTTGTGTAAAACAATATCAAACCTGTCAAGTTACCACCGGACTACCCTCAGTCAAACGGTTTTCGATTCATCACGAAGAGCTATCCAGTTAAAGAAACTGTACAAAACTTGTCAAGTTACCTCTTAACGTACCCACAGTAGCATATATTTTTTAGTGAAAAATTTGGACTGTGTTATGCGACCTGATTTCACGATTAAAAAAAGTGGGAATAAAGTCATGTTTTTAGAGAGTCAATAAAATCACCATCTACATCAATTTCCTTATCCATACTTGTGTCGTCGGTATTGAAATGCTTTACGATTTAAAATATCACAGTGGTGTTGAGGCTACAATACCTAATTATTCGAAATTAGAATAAATCGATTTAAAAATACTTACTATGAAGAAAACGATGCTACGAGTCTAGTTTCCCAGGTTTCATGCCAACAAAATCAATAATCCAGAATCACATAAAAATATTTCAGATGAAATTATATACATGCCACAGTGATTAACTAAAAACTTCCAAGTGATCAAAATACAATTATGTTAGGAAAGCTGATAAGTACCATATTCGAATTTCTCTGGTATGGTGATTGCTTAAACGTTACAGGTGAGTGATAACAGACAGAAAACTCAGACCTCAGTTTCATATTTTCCTGAGGATTCAAGTACGATACTCTGCAATACAATTTTTTGTCCGATTATGCGAGATTGATCTGAAATTTAAAATAATCTGTAGAAGTCGAGTTGGGGATGACCATTTTCTTGTTAGCTGGATATGTTCGGATCTGGTTACAAAGAAGACTATCAGAGAAAACTGATTTAACACTTGTGAAATAACTAAGAATCTCTCTCCTACATAAAGTGTTGATATCACCAACAATCACAATAAAAACTCATGCAACAATAAATCACACAACTCATTTTCACAGATAGTATTGAAGTGTTCGTTTGAGAAGACATTGTGTCAAAAGAAGTCTGATCAATTCAGTACCGAATATCAACACCCAAATATTGTAATTCCTCAAGATTAGTGATATATTGTTCTACATAAGCATCTGATGAACATCATGATGAAGTATTAGTTAGAAAACATAACGTTTCATCATGTGGACTCGGTTCATAACAAATAAATATCATGTAATTCGTATGACTATTCATGTGATCATCAAAGTTATCGAAATAAGAATTAAAAAATCATTTGTATAATTGCTGGGGTGAAAATAACTGTTCAATGTAAACAGTTTATTAAAAATGAGTGCAATCTCACATCGATAAGCCCAATTCAAAAACTCTACAAATAAACATTTATGGTACCAAACTGTAGCACGGGTAAATGAACTGTTAATTTTCAAGTTAATGTTACTAGATAAGGCACTTTCTCCACAAAAATAAATCTTGATAATCTATACACTTTGGACTAAACGACTGTCCTGTATTTCCAGGTTTCCCATGGTCGTCCAGGTTCATTTGACTCATGAATTCAACCATCAAAATATAGAATAAAGAGACTGACAAACTCAAAACGTAACAGGCGTTAGAAAAAACACACTTTTAATTACTAACATTTAATGGTTTACTGACGATCTCAAATCCTTCATCTTCGAATTTTCCATACTTCATTACTTCTTCTTGAGTCATCATATGAACCGTTATTTGGTGATCTGATGAAATATCAAAATTTTCTATCCTAGTGTAATGAGGCTCAAATGGACTTTGCCAAAAATCTAAAATCAACGAGAACTGTGTTATTTCGATGGATATGCAGCACAAAAATATTATCTTTTCATTTCACAGTATTTTATGAACTGTAAACATCCCGAAACAAATGACACTCTAGTTTGTTTAGGGGTATAATGGAATATAAAAATTGCTTTGCAATAAGACGCAAGGAAGAACACGTTAAAGCAGCATTAGAAATGATCATAATACTTTCTGACTGTAGTTACTTACTTATTTACCTACTCACTTACGCCTGTTACACCCCGCCGACCAGCATTCTCCAACTCAATCTGTACTGGGCCTTCCTTTCTACTTCTATCCAATTTTTTTTCATTTTCCTCATATCTGTCTCCATTTCTCGAAGTAATGTGTTCTATGATCTTCCTCTTTTCCTTTGGCCTTGAGAATTTCAAGTGAGGAATCACCTTGCGACCAAGTTGGGTGCTTTCCCGAATGAATTTCCTATCCACTCCCAGCACTTCCTCCTGATTTCTTCCTCCGCTAAGATCTGATTTGTTCTCTAACATAGTAGGTTAGTGCTGATAGTGTCTGGCCAACGGATCCGACGTATTTTGCATAGACAACTGTTAATGAACACTTGTATCTTGTGAATGATTGCTTTGGTAGGTCTACAAGTTTCTACCCCCGTACAGTAGAACTGTTTTGACATTTGTATTGAAAATCCTTACTTTATTATTGGTTGACAGTTGTTTTGGTTTCCGGATGTTCTGCAATTGTAGATATGCTGCTCTTGCTTTGACGATCTGTACCTTCACATCCGCATCAGGTCCGCCGTGCTCGTCAATGATGCCACCCAGATATATGATGGTTTTTACACCTTCCAAATCTTCTCCGTCAGGTGTGATTTGATTGGTGCGTGCTGTGTTGTATTGGAGAATCTTGCTCTTCCTTTGTGTATGTTGAAACCTTCCACTGCTGAGGCTGCTACTACACTGGTCGCCTTCTCCTGCATTTGTTGTTGCATGTGCGATAAAAGAGCCACATCATCTACGCAGTCTAGATCGTCCAGCTGCATCGTAGCTGTCCACTGTACCTCGTGCTTCCCTCCAGATGACATAATGATTGAGAATAATGGAGTTGGAAAAGAGAGTTTAAAAAGTTCACAATCTGCTTGATCGATTCATGGTATCAATCAAATTTCCAAAATAAGTAGCAGATTATCTTAATTTATAGTCGATTTTTTTATTAGTTCAGGTGAAAAATTTATGAATCACCTGAGTGTTTATGAAAATTTTTCCCTACTCATTGCTACTATCAGGGTATGGCGAAAATTATTCCAAAAGTAAGGACTGTAAACCTTTGTAAACTATTTCGAGACTACACTGTAGTAGTGTAGTGACCGACAACACAAGTGGGGACAATCGAACTTATTTGAATACAAAATAAAAGAACATTCTAGTAAAATTTGGGAACTATAAATTAAGTAATTCATCTGCAAAATGTCAATCAACCGTCTCAGAATTCATTGTTCTTTCGTTTCCACACTAATCACTCTGTTCTCGTTCTCTTTTCTTCGATCTTCTTAACCTTTTGCCGAACACCAGAGTAGTATAGTGGTAACTATTGCAAAATCCATATCCATCTTATTATTGAATATATGGTTGAAATATCTATTCCTGTAACTTAATAGCTGAAATATATCCTCAGTTCGGTTGAGCTAAAAAGACCATATCAGTATGAATATAAATAGGTTTGAGTGAACTTTGAATGCCAAAATAAATGATTCATTCATTTCATTTATTCACCAAGCAATTGGGTATGAGCCACACTATGAACTTGAAGATTAATGATAATATTCAGTTATCGAAACCAAATTATTGGAGCTGTGCTTGAGCATGAGACGAAGTAGCTGAAATTAGAATATCTTGACCACCACTATTTTCAACATATTGTGCATGTTCTTATTACCTAAAAACACTTGACTACACAATGCAGCTGCAATAATTTCTAGTATTCAGAATCAGCTAATCCATAACATTCCCGTCACAATCAAAGGTGACATTTTCCTCTTAATTTTTTACTAGTCAAATTCGGTGAATATCACGCAAATTACGGTTCCGGCTACTAAACGGTATCTTTAGCTTCACATCACTGCTAAATATCGATTAACGAGAATTAATGTTATGATTTAATTTTCATTAGATAGCCTTTACATAAGTAAATCTGTAGTAACCATGGTGGTCCAGACATACGATTACTGCTTGTTCACATCCATCAACATGTCTTATTCCTCGATGACCCAACTTCAAGTCAAACTAGCATAAACCTTCACTCAACTTTTACAGTTCCGCCTATTTCACAAGTCTCAAACATCACAAATCTTAAATCACGAAATACTTAACATGAACAATTCAGACTATTATTGTGATTCTGATTATTAAAGTCATCACATTTTATGCAACAAATAGTCTTCAAGTCTGTTCTTGTATTAAACTCTAAACTTTAAACAGTCGGATCATAGCTTACCTCTAAAGTAGAAAACATTTACCAGTATCATCGCAGTATCATCTGGAATATCATCTGTAAAGAATTTCTCCAATAAACCATTAGACTGTTGATCAACCCAATCATTGATATCAACTGTAGCACTAGTTCCATTAGAAAAATCCACCTAGAGTAATGAACATTAAAAATTTGTAAGCGTTAATTAATTCTGATCAACAAATACTAACAGAATTATGACTTCATTCAGATTTGATTACCGATAGAAAGCTTTGCAGATGTCGTGATCTTTAAGCTGGATCATTTAGTTGTATATAATTCGTCGTTATGAAAAACATCAGCAGCATATGCTTCAAAGATAAGTGAGTCATTACAATGGCAGTAAACTTTAAAACAAAATCAATTGATCACATGAATAGATCTGTGACTAGATCACATTCAGAAGTAAAGTCGTGGGACATTACAATCACTACTATTCCAATTCAATTCTATGTAATTCAGTTTAGTAATTGAACGATATTACTTACTGTTACAAATGAAGTCCAGTATAAACGCGAGTACACGAATCTGTAGTTGGTTAGTACAATAAAAAGAACCAAGTTTGTCTTGACTAAGTCATTTTATTCTAATTCATTAAAAATGTCTAAATGCCCTTGATTTTTAAAACGGAATTATTAGATTGTTTATGGTCAGCGTTTGTTTAAAAAAATTATACTTCGAGTATTTCGAAATTTTAATATGAAATAAATGTTCTTGACCCGAATAAATACCAAATGGTACTTTATTATACTGCCATGTTTTACCAACCAAGCAATCTCTAATACGACATCATAAAGCATTAATATATTTTATACTGTGCTTATATACACATTGCGTTTTTCAAGCTTCGTTTTGCTTACTTACGCTTGTTACCTCTCATGGAGGAACATAGGCCAACTACCAGCATTCTCAATCCAAATCTGTCATGGGCAATCGTTTCCAGTTCCTATGCATCCGTTTCATGTCGGTTTTCGACTCCAGAAGCAGTGTGTTTTTTCGCCCTTCCATTTTTCAGTTTCCATTCAGGATCCCAAGTTAGCACCTGCCTAGTGATGCAGTTTGGTGATTTCCTCAATATGTGTCCTATCCACTTGCAACGTCTTTTCCTTATTTCCTCCTCAGCTGGAAGCTGGTTCGTCCTCTATTATAGTAGGCTGTTGCTGATGATATCCGGCCAAAGAATATTGAGTTTCCTGTGTAGACAATTGTTTATAAATACTTGTACCTTATTGATGATGGTTGTGGTAGTTCTTGAAGTTTCAAGTTACGTCTACTCAACCTCAAGCCTTATTTAGTTACTATACAATAACTGATACTTGGTACTTATTAGATAAACCATTTTATGATTTCATTATGATTCTCTGAAATAAAATATTACACACAATACTTTTGCATGATGAAAATATTTTTAGTATCATAAGGCAATTTCGTGGATTTTATAGTAATTTACTATAGTAATTACTAATGAAACTACTATAATATCCACAAAAACCCCTTTCTGATACTAATCAGCATATGCTCACTAGTGACTGGCTTCAAGAGGTATTTCCTGGAGTTCTAATGTAAAGCAGTGATCAGTGGAGTTCAAGCAGATCTATTGTAAGATAGTAACTCACTGATGATAATGGTTGGTGTGTCGCTCAATTTCGTGAATTAGTTGAAGTTATACATTAACAACATTGGATCTCGGCCGGCTCAGTTATGTAAGGCTAAGCATTCGAGCGCGAGACCGATAGGTCGTGGGTTGGAATCTCGCGATGTGGGATCGTGGATGCGCACTGCTGAGGAGGCTCCATAATAGGAAGAGTTGGCCGTCCAGTGCTTCCAGGTTTTCCATAGTGGTCTAGTTTCAATTGACCCATGCTTTCAACTACAGAAAATATCTTTAGTAAACTTAGTAATTCATTGATAAATAATCAGAATTTTCCACAATTCATTGTGTTCATATTGATCTCATCAAATTTACTATGATATATGGTTTCAGCTAACCTACTTCTTCGGTTTTTCAGCTTCTACATAGTGTAATAAAACAACATGGAACTATCATATACATTTTAAAATATCAATTTTATTAATCCTAGTTATTTAGTAATTCACAAACTGATTTCAATCATGTTATCCAATTAACCTGTTTACAATATATCTTAATTAGAACTAATAAATTATATTATTTCACTTTTTCACAACTTACTTATTATTACTGTAAATGATAATCATGGGTTTAAGATTTTGTTTACATTTACACATGAAAATAAAATTATACCAATGAATACCAATTTACAAACACATGGTATAATGAATATACAGTTGAGAATGTGTACTACTTTAAATCACTAATCTATGTTACCTATTAGGATTATTAACAAAATAAACATTTGAAGGTGTTTATATTACTGAATCTAAACTTGTGTTTCAAAATATAAGTTATCAGTTTTATGCTTGACCGTAGCTGCTACCTTGACGCGGTGGTCGGGCTTGTCTATCGTGATGGTCCAACCGAGCTATATTGGCTGGAACATATGTACCTGTAGGCAGGTCGATTGGAGAACAGTAAGACTAATAGCAGAAATTCAAGGTCTGAGCGCGAAGTCGTATTGCTAACTATAGAGAGGTGTGACAGTAGTAAAGTGCTTCCCTCGGATAACCAGAATCTCACAAGGGAGGAAAGGGTTAGGAAAGGTTAACCCTAAAAATGTCACACCTCACCTTACCTCATGGATTTCCGTCTCCGGCAGTAAGGCCCTTTGAAGAACGGAACTAACAGGTTAAAAACCTCCCACAAAAAGACCGTGCGCGACCGGCCTCAAGCAGTTGTCCCTTGGGTTCTGCGGTCACGCTCCCAGGTCGTTAAGACCAACACTAAGCCAATTTCCTTTCCAGGTTCCTCAAGAAATACCCTTCCACGGTGTGGGCAGCCGGGAATTTATACCAGCCTACATACCCGCAAAAGCACACGAGACCAAGTTGGTCACATTCAGATTCTTCTTACACCTCCCAATACCTCTCTTATTTCTATGACTAACCCTTCTCACGTCCTTTTATCACCTCGCACCGCTAGAGCAAACGATTCGAGTACGTGGAACGCCATTCCTGGTCTCCTGAAACCACGCTCTAAACTACACGTAGGAGCTTTTAACGTACGAACACTTTGCCAAATAGGACAGCAGGCTTCCTTAGCTAGGACTTTAGAATCTCGCACCATCGATGTGTGCTGCGTCTCCGAAACGCGTATAGAGGATCCAAGTAGCATCATTCATTTGACCTCACCATGCCAAAATAAAGAACCGACTCGATTCACACTTCGTCTATCTTGAAGCCCTGATTCTGCTTCTCGTGGCCTCGCCGGCGTAGGTATAGCATTGAGTCCTAGGGCAGAACTAGCTCTCTTAGGGTGGATCCCAGTAGACAGTCGTTTGTGCGCTGTCCGACTGAACGGAACAATAAGGATCCGAAAAAATAATAGGGACACTCGTCGTTGCCTCTTCGTCGTTTCTGCCTATTCTCCAACTGACTGCAGCTCAGATGATGTAAAAGATGAGTTTTATAGAAAACTCTCCGACCTCCTCCAAAAAGCTAGGCACTCTGATGTGGTAATAGGGGCCGGTGACCTTAATGCTCAAGTCAGTAAACTAAGCGATAGGGAAAGATACCTGTGTGGATCTTATAGTGTCGTGGCTCAGAGAACAGATAATGGCGACCGCCTGTTGCAGCTATGCTCAGATAACCGCTATCATCCACCGATGGAGGGGTTCGATAGAAGACTGTCGCTCATTCTGGAGCACATGCTTAGATTAAGATCATGCTCTAGTACGTGCGCGTATTTGCCTGCGTCTTACTGGACGTAAGAAAGACGCTGCAAGTAAACCTCTTAGGGCCCTACTTAATGATAGTCAAGCTAAGAGTATATTTCAGGAACAACTAGGAAAACAGTTAGGCAGCCATGTATGTGATGCCCACCCCGAGGCACCATGGAATGATATCCGGAAAGTTGTGGAAACAGCAGTGATATCTGCTAGTACGGTAACCCGTAAGGTTAGGGAGCAACACTGGATCTCAGCAGCATCTATCGCACTGATAGATACTCGGAAACTCATTACACCTGGCTCTGAACATAATGAGGAGCGGAGTCAGCTTAAGCGCAAGCTGACAAGAAGTCTACGCAATGATTGCAACCAGTGTTGGGTAGCGAAAGCAAGAGAGATGGAAAAGACAGCGGCGATAGGTAATAGCAGACAATTGTTCAGACTTGTTAAGGAAACCGGTATCAGGAAACCGACTGTTAGCGAAACACTCAGAGAAAGATGGACATATTATACATTCTCAATCCAGGAGATTGGATCGACGTTCAGAACACTTCAGGGATCAGTTCAACTGGCCTTTCCAAATTTATTTCACTGAATTATACTGCTCGAATAAAATCATCAAACCCTAGTCCTTCTGACTACTGCTTATAGTCTTACTACCTCTACCACTACGGGACTTGACTCGACAATTGCATTTCTGTGCTAATGTGGTGTGGCAACTCGAACTGATGTACGTACGTACGAAGTTTTACGTTGTTACTGACTGACCATCAGTTTTGAGAGATATTGTATTCTGAAACGGTTAGTGATCTTAGATTGTCGGGGTTGGTTTCATGGTTCCCTACCTGATGTCATTTCATAATAATATCAAACAAAAACTAAGTAGTCTCATAGTAAGTTAAAATATATACAATTATAAACTAGTAGGGAGCTGAAACTTTGAGAACTACCACAATCATCACCAAAAGGTATAAGTATTTATAAATAATTATCTACCTAAGATACTTAGTGCCTATTGACCAAATACCATCAGCAACAACTTAATCTAGGAGAGAACAAAACAGCTTCCAGCGGAGGAGGAAATTAGGGAAAAATGTTGCAAGCGGTTAGAATATATATTAAGGAAACTATCAAACTGCATCACGAAGCAATCACTGACTTGGTATCGTGAATGGAAACGGAAAAGTGGAAGACCGAAGATCACACTGCTTCGGGTATTGGAAGCAGACCTGAATAGGAATTGGGGCGAGACTATAATTTATAGATGACATTTGAAAGAATCTTAAGTGATCCTGGGAAATATTAACCAATCAGCAAGCAGTCAGTATGGATTAGAAATAAATTATACAAAACCAAAGAATTAAAGTGGATGCACTTCTTTTACATGTTTCAAAAACTTGTCAAGGTTAGAAAGAGGTTCAGAGGTTCTAAAATCGTAATGCATGCAGTGGAGGAAATCATCCATATGGCTACAGAATAGTCGGCCACTGAAGCCATAATAAATACTCAAAAACACTTTGAGCCTCGGCCACATAGCTTCAATATTGTTTGTGTGCACTCCGGTTGTTGAGTACACAAAGTGTCACTTGTGGATAACGAAACGATGAAGGAGTCTGTACACTCTCCAATCATCCGGATATATTGTAGTACCTGGTTGCAACCAGTGTTACTAGTGCTTTCATTATGCAGTTCGCAATAACTGTCATGATTTGCCTTAGGAATTATATATAGAGTTTTCATCACGAACTGGCAACGGCTATAATGCCAAAAATCTATTTAGCCAAATGGATGGAAGACTTTCGTGCCAAACTCCGAGATCTGTTATCTTATACCTAATTGGTTCGTCCACAAATTATAGCCTAGCCGTCTAATTTGTTATCGGTGCTCAGTTATCACGTTTTGTATAAAATCCCCTGTGCACCGATCGTACGTTAGCATTAGGTACTGAAGTTGGTGCTGTGACCTTTAAATCCCTCGAACGCTTCTGATTGGCTCGTCCATAAATTATAGTGTCACCGGAATTGGAAATGATTTCCCATGACGGAGTTGAATGGAGAACGCTAGTGGCTGGCCTATGCTCCTCCATGATGTAAGATAGGTGTTAGTAATTAAGTAAGTAACAAAACCACATTGGCTGAGGATAACACATTCATTAGTATATTAGTAAAAACCATACTTGTATTTCGACAAAGAAATCACATTTCAACTCAATAATCTTTTGTTTATCACGATTTGACTAAAGTATATCATACAACTAAGTAGCGCTGGTTAACAGCAACCATTTATGTGAGAAAAAAGACGATGGAAAAATTGTTTGGTTCCGATAAACATAATGAATGGTAACTTTGGGATCCTTTTATGGACCAATACTAAACGTATATTTTTATCGTATAATTACTAAATAACTAAGCTATTCATCTTCATATTCCTCTTATTATAAAATTTATTTTGACCTATGAACCATTATTATACGTTTTACCATTCTTGAATTATGCCTTGTCTATTAGTCACTGCCTCCCACGCTCACAGCCACTTTGGGCTAATTCTTGTACAAATGTTATTTTCTATTTTATGCTACGTTGTGGTCTGTTTGAACGATATATAAACTCAGTATGTTCGAAATATAATGATTCATAATGCAGAGGCTGAGACTGGTGTTCTGGAATTAACTGACTGGGCTAGGCGGGAAATAGGACCAACCAGGACTCTAGGCTGCTCGCACGTGTTTTACGCGTCCTTGGTCCGATCGATTATTCGGTGCTTCTGATCGGCGGCTTTGGGCTGTAAGAAAAATTCAGTCAGTAGACATAGTCTTTTTCAAAGTTTCTTCAAGTCCATCCACACGGTCAATCTAAACAGTTACATGATGTCAATGATTTTCTAAATTTTAATTTTCAGTTTTTAAAAATTTTCTTGTCATGTAAGTTCTTCAAGTGTTTAACAACCAAGTGGACTAAGTTTCTGACCGATTTAATTCACTACGTTTCAGATCGAACAATCATCTCATTCCAATCAACTTAATATCGATTTACGATAATCCACTACATATATTTCAATCCTTCGAAATATACCTAGAAGACACCTATGTCATCACATTCAAATAAATGATCAGTATTAAGCGATAAATCACATTTACTGTTTATACGACTTCCAGTAATTTTTATTTAGCCCCCAAATGCCCTGGTACGGCCGAGAGTTGGGACAGTCTGTTCTCCCTCTGGAAATGATCTCACATGGCCACGTGTATATAGTCCCTATCAAAGAAGGCCTACTCCCAACACTGGTCAGCATTGGGTGACGTGGTAATCGGTGTTCAGGCATATGCGACACGTGGTCCAACCATCTCAGTCGATGAAGATTCACAACCTCATCAACTGATTCACCATCATTCCCTAATATCCTGCGACACAGACATGAACACAATAAAATAGAAATAGTTCTTTTAACTGAATGGGAATAAGAAGTCGGTAGAAAATAAGCATAGAATGAAATCCAGATACAAGTAATGAGTGAAACAACATCAATGCAACTCATCTTAAACTACATCAAGTACTGTTTGGGAAATTTCATTTATAATTCGGATACATCTACCACGTAGTCTGAGAATGTTCGACGCTTGAACCGGTTTGGTGGACACGGAGGATCCACCAAGGGGAAATGGCAAACCCTGATTCCAAACCAATGATGCAAATAGGCTACAGGATGCTGAAGATACAAATGACGTATAAACCAAGTGTTCATCACCGGTTACCATGAGACTGCATCTACTGATGTTACCTTATCGCCTTGTGGATCAGACCATTAGGTAAAGGCTTCGAATGTGGCCCCCCTAGGAAAACTACCTGTATAGGTTTGGATGTTCGGGTAGTATTCCAGCTCTCACACAAATCGAATGAAGTGTGGTACATATATATTTGGTGCCTTCTTGAACCAATGTTTATGTTTAAATAAAAAAATTAAATTCTTACTTAGGCTAACTAGCAACTCAAAAGTTTACGGATTTCTACAATGTTTGATAAAATATCTAATTTATTCATGTTACCAGTTTACTTTCAAGAATGAACTTTATTGGAAATATATATGGATGTCAGGAAATAATCTATGAATTCATTTTATTCTTTAAGCCTTGATAGAAAACCATTGATTGCTTGCACTTGATTTGATTACTGATTGGACAATTATTGGTTGAATAACTGGGTGGTAACATTTGTTTAGGTAATAATGTACATTTATATTTATATTAAAATGTAGAACCCTCATTTACCCAATTACATTGTTTGTTTGTTTTTGTTTCAACTAAGTAACAGCACCTATCTAAACTATCTAGACAGTTATTCTTTTAATCCAAACATTACTGTATATAACCCTGTTTAGTATATTGTGAGAAAAGCTCACAATGTGAATTTGAAGGTTAGTAAACGTCAGAGAGCACACGGGAGACATTCAATCTCAGTTTGAAACAGTGTGCATAAGTGATCTCAAATTTATTCGAACGTATTGCATGAGTATACCACAATGATAATAATATTATTCAGCTGCTCAGCTGAAATTCAACAGCATTATTTTTCTCCACGTGAATCCATAAACGATTTAGAGGGAAATATTTCTAAATCATAACTGACCTGATAAAAGCTTCGTTCCATTCATACGTTATGATCTATCACTGGAACTGTTCTAAATCCAACTTAAAGTAACTCAAAGTGAATGTATGGTTATTTATTATTTAGATGAGAAAAAACAGTCAGCCAACTGATCCATTATTTCTACTGATTTTTCTGGTAATATATCCACTCTACACTTTCGAACTAAGTAAACCATCCAGCTAAATAAGATGGACTTTTGCGAAGTATCACATCACGAATAATAAACTATTTTAAGAACATTCTATGAATGAAACGGCCGATTACTTATCGATTGATGTTTGCGAAAACGACTGATTCTTCATTACATTAAGATTTACACAAAATATAACAACTTGCCTGTTTCAATTCTCCTTCAAAATCATTTGCAATACTTTCGGTAAAACGTCTTTCAACTTCGTAAGTTTTTTGTACAAATATACCTGTTGATATTCTAACAACATTTTCTTCTTTCTCATTTAAAAATGTTTTTTCTGAAGTAAGCGAGTTATTAAGCTCCTGATATAATGATTTCATTTCTTGTTGAGCTTCCGAAGAATTCCATGAAGAAGATGTCGATTTCAGTCTCATTACTTTTCCAATTTGATAACCTGTTCTACCTTGAGCACCACCAGAACCTAACAGGATACCGAGTGTGAAAAGTATACCAAGTGGACATGTCAGGAAGTTGTCCTCGCCTAAATCATTTCGAAAGTTAAATAAAGTTAAATAAATAAATAAACAGTAAACAATAGAAACACATTCTAGTTATAAATATCGAGGTTAAATTAGGCATTATGCTATAGGTTGAGTAATATGGCATTTAATGACTTCAACAGTAAGGTCTTCGTACGTTGAATTTGTTGTCCGTAAGGTATTCTTGTACGACGCTAGCCAAAATTTATGTCTTACAAACGTAGCAATGCTTAAACACATATCATTGATTACTTGTACTATGTACATTAAAATTTAATTACCAATTCTGGATACGTTTGAAAGATATTGCAATTTTCAATAATCGAGGGCAAGTACAAAGAAACACGGGATATAGATTTCATTCTACTTTATAATTGATTTTAATGCGCATGTGCAATCTTAACAAAATCTATACCATTCTTCGAATATCTACCTATATCACCGGATGTCACTGTCAGAGAGTATACCAGTGAGCTATTCGAATCTCCAATGGTCTATTATAAAAATGTGAACTAAATATTTATCTGTTGGTAAGTAACCATTTTTCTCTGATCCTTCAGCCATCAGCTTCCAATGTGACGATTAGACTGAGGAATTCAGCATACGTACCGATGACTGAAAATCATTAATTCTGTGATTAAAACCATATTTTATCAACACCAATTGATGGAAACTACAAGACATTCGTATATATATAGGTGTTCTTAAAATTCAAACAGCTCATTGTTGTGTTAAGAAATACAATGATACAGTCGACAATGAGGAAAATAAATCTAGATTAGAGTAAACTGGGGTAAGATGTAATTGAAAGTAATCAACCTAAAGGAAAACTTGAAAAAAATCTGCCACAAATATGCTAAATTTTAACTTGTCGATGGCTAGATTCAATCAATTTTCATGTATATTTTTTTAATAAGATTTTCAATAATAAATGAGATATACACTGACGACATACAGTAGTTATACACATTTTACGTCAGTAGAACCAACTTGACAAAATATTATGAGATCTTGTCAACATGTAATGTAAGGCAGAAAAAATAGTCTAATTTAAAGCTATCAAAATATGATGACAAATTAGTATTGAGTACTGAGACAATCCACGATCTAGTTTTCGATCATTTTCCATGAGATGAGTTAACCAACAATTTTATTAATTATTAGTTGAGATCATGAGTAAATTGAAGCTAGAGCACTATGGAAAACCAGGAAGCACCGGACAGCTGTTCCATCATATAGCAATGTGCATCCACGATCCCACATCGCGATATTCTAACCCACTACCAATCAGTCTCGATCGCGAACACTTAACGTCTAGACAACTGATCATTCCAGGATCCAACTGTGTTAATGTCTAACTTCAACTAATCCACAAAATCAAACGACACATCCACAACTGTCTTCAATGAGCAAATATCTCACAACAGACCCAGTTGAACTCCACTGATCACTGTTTCTCACTAAAACTCCAGGAAATTGTTATTAATATAATGCTTTGATTAAACTCTTATTTATCAATGACGTTATTAGTCAAGTTATAAATTAATCAACCAACGAGAGGTCAATACGAATTCAATCGTAAATAATTAATAAAACTTACCAAAGTCTGCAGTCACTGTCGAAAGATACGTACGGGTAAATGCCTTATGACTTGGAATATTAGCGTATGGATCATCATTTTCTGGAGTAAATAGCATACCCATATCTTAAACTACTACAGAACTAGATAACATTAATGACTGATATAGCTATATATATATATGATCTTAGCTAATCACCATTTTTTAAGCACGTCTTGATTTAATCCCACAGATATGTGTCTTACTAGTCATCAGTAGTATGATTCAGATTGGTTAAATCGGATTAAATTGTTCAACACTATGCGTATAACACTAGAAACCAAACTACTGTTCGACCAATTAAGTCTAATAATAATATCGCAGCTTTACGGATCAATAGTTGCATGAATAGACCATTAATATGCTTTCAACATATGACATATAGATGAATATTTATTAAATTAGAAATTAAATATTTATCTGAAATTTCATCTGATCTAAACGTATTGAAAGCGAGACTGATTTCCATCTTTAATTAGGACTAAACAACTAGTCAACACTTCCTGGTTATTCATGTTGATGTCTCTCTGTGACACTAACCAACTTCAATGTGTAATTTGTAATCGTTTGAAATATCATGTTGCACAAACGAGTGGATATCTAGGCTCGGTAGTAGCTAAGTGGAACAAATGGCACCAGTTTTGAATCTCAGAGTGAAAATCAATTCTGAGATGCAGGTATAACTAGCTGACGGGTACCAGTTAGAAAGAAATGAGCAGTCGGGATTTCACTGATAGCCACACACACTCTCTATCCTATATCATTTTCAAAAAGTCTAACTGTTAGATCACACGTCAAAATAAGTGTGATTTTTATGAGATGTGTGTAGTTCCATTACAAATGATATTTATTGTTTAGTATAATTTATGTTGTTTTTTAAAAATTCTAGGCTTTGTAATATTAGTAAACAGAGAGTTTGTAACTTCATACATATGAGCTACTTGTTACGCTTGTGATTTTAACAAAAGAGTAGTATTGCAGAAACTACTTATTGATTTGAACACAAAAATATTGTTAAAAAGGGGCACCGAATATATATACCTTACACAAGTCACTTGATTTGAGTGTGGGCTGTGATACTGCTGAGTGCCCAAACCGAAGCATATGGTTTTCTTAGGGTACCACACCTCTAGCCTCCGACCTAAAGTTCTAATCCACAAGGTGGTTGTGCAACGTGAGGAGATGCAGTTAATGGTAGCCGGTGATCCACAATATGTTCATACGCCATTTGTCCCATCAGGATCCTAGAGCTCATGTCAACCATTAGTTTATAATCAGGGTATCCCAACTCCACCAGGTCGATCCACCGTATCCACCAACCTGGTTAAAGTCCCGGACACTAGCTTTTCGATCTCTCATTTTCGTAAAAAACACTCTCACCACAACAAGTTAGTGAGTAGGATTTCCCTGGCAGTGCCTATATACGTGTGGCCATATGAGAGCATTTCGAGAGGGAGAGCAGACTCTCCCCACTTCCCGCTGTAACAGAGCATTTAGAGTGTTTTCTCATACCAGCGAGTAGAAAAACAATTTGTTCAACCATCTCGCTGATGGATTCAACGTTGTACATTCTATTTCACTTAAAACATTTAATTATGATTTATTCTTCATTAATAAGTAAGTAGGGTTATTTATTATGAACTAGTTTGTCCAAACACCATCAGAGAACATTATAAATTTATCCATCATTTCCAATACTTCTAACTTAAAATCAACACAGCCTAAATTTTCCTCGTTGGACATCATCACTACTTGTATTTGACAATCTGAAGACACTTCAAAAGTTTCACTTTCTGTTAACGTTTCTATAAAACGCACCTCCCAAACATCTAATTCAATCGAAAGTATTTAAATTAAGAGAAATATAGCACTGCATCAATTTCGGTAAAATAAAATATAAATTCACTAAAACTACAGATAAAATAATATATCGGTGCTACTTAAAAATAAGAAAATTTTTCACACTTTAGTTCATGGACTTGATTTCATTGAAAAACTATTCAAAACCACGGTACAATCAACAGATGTTTTGTCCCGCATTGCTACACCTCAGCGGCGTACATCCAATATGGTCATACAGTATTTAGAAGTATTTGATGTTTGACACTTGCACTATAAGATTCCGAATCATTGATCCAGCGGTTACTCATTGGTGTCGCGATTGGACATCTTTGTTTTGATGTTGGGTAGGGTCGTGGTTGCCTTCTGCTGAGGAGTACGCCACCATTAAGAACAGCTGTCTAGTATACACTGCTTCTCAATGGTTTTCTAAATAAGATCAATCTGTGATCCTAATATTCAATACAAACCCTTGTATTAATAATTTAATGAATTTGTCATTAACATATAATTTACATATAATGCGTTTCTACTCAATTTACTGGATATAGGCACAAATACAGGGAAATCCAGTTAAGTATTCTTCTACGTAATGCCTGTAGTGGTTTCGCTTCGATAATCGATCACCTCGATAACCGTTATAATATAAATATCAACGGTGTTTATAATCAGAAGGCAATGAGAAGCGGAAAATTTATAGTCAAATTGCATAAGGACGAAACGGATCGGAGAGCTCAAGTCAGCCAACTCTATTGAACCAAACATCACTTAATATTTATGGTCTGAAGAAAATAACTGACAAACATTTAATGAATAGGGTAAGTAATTAACACACATACACACACTCACAAATCAAAACAGTCAGAGTTAATAAGTGAGTATGTGACAAGGTCAAAATATGCATTCAGAAAAATGAATAAATTGGTCTATCCAGAAGCTAGAATAGCCTATGTGGGCTTGACAAAGTACCACACACTGCATAATTTGGTAACAAAGTATTCAGTTTGGTGTTGTTATTATCATTTCACTTGTTATTAGCATCATTCATTTGAATCAAACTGAAACCATTGTAATATTAGATGAGTACTTTTCATGTTGTATAACATTGAACGTGGACAGTAAGTTTTACCAACACAAGATCGGCAAGCATTTCGAAATCTGGTTACAGATTATTAGTGATATTACAGTCTCCTTTAATGACTTATGCAAACGCCACACTACATTGTACATCATCTGGAACCAAATATGTAGGGCATTAAATATAAATTCAATGGTCCAAGGCCGTCACATTTATTGAGACACTTCAAGGATATTACTCCTATCCTTTTTTCGTGATTGTTATTTACTATCGACTGATCTTAAACTAGGATAAAATAGCTATCCAATCCTAACTTAAGCTACCGTTTATTTATTACAAACCTGTTACTCGGTCCTCTCCCATTTATGTCGCAGCTGTGCTCTTATTACAATTTGAAAGTATCACTTCATAGTGTACATATGTCATATCTGCAGATAACGAATCTAATATTGATCTACATAACCGCACTGCAGCTGATGCGAGACTTTCCCAGTCATCATTATCATGGTCGTTTTTGCCAAGAACTGTGTTACCAATCTACACTGACGTATTCTTCCTAGTCACAAATTTTTTCTTGAATAAACAAATAGATAACATTTAACCAAACGCTTCGATCAGAATTTAAAGGCACTATGATCGTGTGTCAATTCTTTTGCCTCATGCGTTAATTAATTTAACCGCTTCCATTTCAATTCTGTTAACTGTAGACGTTATGGTTTCTCATTAAAACTACACAAAATGACAATTCTCTACTCATTGGTTAAGAGATTGGAACTGATTAAAGCTAATTTTTAATAGGTTCAGACCATAATTTATGGACAACCATTGAACGACGCCGAACTGACCTTTTGTGTCTACCTTCTTACTAGGACTAAAGCGGGTTATAAACCAGTTTGAACAGAAGGGATTAGGATTCGCAGTTGATGGTAAGAGTTAGGAATCAGATTAACGGTTTTTCATCACGAACTCACATCAGCTAAAATGTCAAGACGATATCTGGCCTGATGGATGAGTGAATTACACACCAAAATCCGAGACCTGTTATCTTAAACTTGATTGGGTCCTCCATATTCTCGCCTCTCAGTAGCAACTGTAGGGAGTAACTTCCTACAGGTGTAATTCCAAACTATTCTCTAGACTGTCGAAAACAGAGTGTGGTAACCTACTTTTATCAAGAGAACGCGTTTGGTGTAATGGAAACAATCATTATTATAACCGATTGTACCAGTGATTGTTTTACCGTACTTGTTTGTTTATCTGTACTAAAGACATTCTTCCTTCCTTCGAGTGTGACCTTGCACGAATTCGGTTACGCTCAGTAATCACACCTGTACTCCTTCGGCACGATCTCGGTATTCTTTCGATACCACGAGATCGCCAACTAATACATCTCGACTAAAGCCATCAACTGCTTTCTGATATTTGGCCTACGGAGGGGTATAGCCTGGTAACTGGCACGTAGTCTTCCTGTAGTGGTGATCATAGTCAACCGCGACTCGATGCCACACTACAAGAGTCGTAGCTCAGCTTAACCAAAGTCAGTTCAAGTAAGCTATTCGGCTTGAAAAACTTTATCTGTTTCTAAAACGTAAATCAACACTGTCACTATACAAAATAAACAATACAGTCTATAAATCAGGGAAAAGGAAAAACAGAAACAACATACCGAACAGTAACTTGACTATAGGAGAAATGAGTCAACAAAACGAATATTGATTTAAGATGAACATAAAATTGTGATTGGTGGATAAACAAGGCAGAGTCAAGGTCAAAGAAAGCTGATGTGTTGGTGGGAATTTCATGTTAGCATTGGTGAGTTCGTTTATCGATCACACGTAACAGCAACTACGTTTAAATAACCATACATTTCTATAAAACCAACTGTAGAGCATCTTACACTTATCAGATTAGATTAGTAGCCTTAGGATCTTACTAAAGCTTTTTACTTTTTTTCTAATATTCACAACTGATTCCATACAAGGAAGATGCAGACTACTTCGGTGGGGTCTGCATCATCATCGTAATCGATGGTTGGAGACTCTGGGTGACATGACTCAGAATCGATCACAACGGCCTCGGTGTACATACTCTCTGTCTTCCTGTACTATGCCCTTATATGCAATCTTTCTCTTATATATTACCACCGAATTAACCACTTCTAGGAATCCGGTGTTCCTCTTACTGTGCTAATG